GCAGTCGGAGGGACTGAGCAGTGGTGGGGAGTTGACGCCGGCCGCGGCAGGGCCTTGTGGCTATGGTGGTCGGTGGTCTTGGGAGGTTTTGAAGGCTGCGCCTGGGGGCGGCAGTTAATTGAAATTTTTGTGTACAAGAAGGACTCGCTTTTATCTCCATTGCTGCTYTGTCTATGCATGTTGTGTGTGTGAAGCCCCGAGTGATGGGAGCTGGTTGTGCGCATGAGTGATGTCGAAGGTCTATGGATGATTAGATGTCCTGTCAAGGGTTATTGATTGTTTACATGCATGTGTGTATGTACTTGTCCGGGTGGGGATGGGGAAACTGAACTGGGGGACCGTCTGCCTAGGAGTACGAGTGTGTTAATCCCGTTGTTCCCCTCCCTTCCGCGGCCCTTCGCGCGCGTTCTCGATGTAAGCTCTTTCTCCCTCTCTTTCCCGCCTCCCTTGTTTTGAGCTTCTCGTCCCCGTACCGGTGACGTCAACCGCCTGCGTCCGCGCGCGCGGTCGACGCCCCTGCAAGGGGAAGAGAGCTTCGATTTCGCCATCTTCCTYCGACGCGCTAACCCCGAGAGAGAAGGTTGCATCGAGTGTTGCATGGAGYCGATGTTGGTTCGGATGACCGGGAGCGTGGGATCTTGCCCGTGTTCATCGCCTGCTTCCGATCGTCTCATCTCGCTACCGACCTTCCCCATCACAGATGACGACAGCGTCTACTGCGATGCGGACRTACGGCGMGCGCTGAGGCGAACGWAGCAAGTTTGTTGGCGAGACCCGCCTCGGGCTTGCGATATAAGGGGGAACGAGTTTGTCTTGATCGATCGTTTYGATTCCCCGACTCTAATATTGCCTTATACGGGTTTGACTGTGTTGCCCTGGTCGGCCGCTCACGCCGCGTGGCGGCCGCAGTTTGATTGTCGCTGGTGTCGCCAGGGGGACTCGTGTTCTTGGCGACCACTGGTTCTGGGTTACGAGGGAGCGACACGTTTCCCCGAGCTTTCCCGTAGTGCGGGGGCRCTGCCCGCRCAATTTCGAATTCGGTACCGGCGAGTCCTCYCGCCACTTTACCCTCCCGGAACCTTCCRCGCGGACTCTGTGAGTCCGACGCTGAGGCTTGAAGGCCTCGAACCAACCACCTCTACAGCAAAAAACCCGATGGTTCGGTCACTTCGTGAGRCCGAGGACGAGGCCTGAAGGCTTSGAACCCACCACCTATCCCCCAAAACCCCATGACGGCCGAAGTTTTGTCTTCCGCCGCCATGGCCCTCTCCCCTTGATGCCTTTTCCCGTCCTGATGCACGACGGCAGTTCGTTTTCGCGGAAACCCTTCTGATTTTATCGTTTCGGAGCGATCCGACCCCCACGGGATTTCGCGACGACAGTTCGACTCCGGGGTAACCTCTGGCACGAAACGAGAGCCTCCCGTTCCGTCCGGGAGACTCAACACCTACGGCCAAAAATCCTCGGCCACGCCCCTCCAAGAACTCTGATCGGCGACCCCGTACGGGAAGCCGCGAGGGGGCGTGAGGTTGCGTATCACAGGCTACCTCCCATCCCATCCTGGCGTCAATACTCCTAGCGCATCCCCTATCCCTACTATCCTACCTCAGTGTGACCAGCAGTCAGGACCATCACCCTACCAGTACCGAGGGGAACTTGGACCGAACAATAGTAACAGGCACCAGGGCTAGTGACCCAGCCCTGGTGGAAGCGTGTAGTTGAACGAGCCTCGTCGTACGGGACCTTCAGACACCAGGCTCAAGCGATCACCTATTACTCGGACTTTCTGGGATTGGTGGAGGCAATCGGAAACCCGTGTCCCTGGAAACAACTCGAGATGGACAGATCAATTCTTCTTTTATTTCTTTTTTTCTTTTTTAAAAGGCTAATTCTTTAAGCCCCACCAATTCAATTACGAGAGGACGGCCTTTCAGGCCTTTTTTATTGTCATTATAGTATTACGGGGAACCTCGTAGCAGCCACATCCGTGCTCAAGCCTCCAACGAGGGAACATGTGGGAGCTGCACCCACCAGCAGGTGCGATACCTGCTACAGATCAACTCTTCTTCTTCTTCTTCTTCTTCTTCTTCTTCTTCTTTTTGTTTCTTTTTTTTTTAAGCCCGGGCTGTTGTAGAGGTGGGACACCCACAGTACTCGGCCACTCGGTTGTCCAGACAGATGAACCCCTCTGAAGACCCCACCCATGCTTCCTCTCATCTTTTATTTGCCCTGGCGCACCCCCAACCCCCCCTGTCCCTACCCCCTAGTGTTAACCACCCAGGACCATCACCCATCACCATCTTAGCCCGGGTGCCTGCAACCGCCGTCTGGGCGGATCAATTCTTATTAATGGGAACTGCAGCGCCACGAACACCTCTTCCAAAATGTTTCACATACGTGGAAGAGACACTTAGGGGGCGCAAAAAATACTGTAGGCGCTCTGGACACAGGGAAAAAAAAAAAAGGAACTCAGCAACCAGATGTGGAGAAAGGCTGACGCCACCTATGGTCAGAGCAGAGGTTAAATATGGCATTACTAAACCACCAGTACATGGCCCCTGGCAACTGGAGTACCTTGTTTGGACCTCCAAAAACATTTAGGAGGCCGAGCGCCGTAGATCCGCGGCGGTCAGCTGGACACATTAAGCTATGTATGTTGGGCTGACGCATGTATAGGTGGGATACAGTAGGATAGTATAGGCTACAGTAGGATAGCTGTAGAATTATACTATTATGTTTGTTTGTTATTGTTGTTGTTGTTGTTGTTTTGAGCCCAGGTTGTTGTAGAGGTGGGATACTAGACCAATGACAGTTACCCACAGTACTCGGCCACTCAGTTGTCCAGCTGAATCCCTCTGATGACCCCACCCTCCCTTCCTCTTATCATTTTTGCCCTGGCGCACCCCCACCCCCTCTGTCCTACCCTAGTGTTAACCACCCGGGACCATCACCCATTGCCATATTGGCAGGGTGACCTGACCCTGGAGAACCCTGTGTTGTATGATAAACTGTGAGAGCTGGGCAATCCTCCGTTCCCTTGTCTGTCCCTGGAGCCTGTTCCGGCCCCGCGGTAAAGTGCAGTATACACCCCCGACATCCCGTACTAAGGAACTGCTATGCCAGCCTCAATCCTTGACTACGTACTAGGAGGATGACCAGCCCTAAGTCATAATCTGGTATCGAACACAGGAGCTCATGTGAATCGTGCAAATGACCAACCTGTTGACATATACTGTGAAGTAGTCTGAAGCTGTGCTCTGCTGGGCTCGAGTAAACCAGACTGTACAAACCACCCAACCGTCGCGTGACCACCCATAAACCAAGAACATCAGGATACCCTACCATCACCCCAGTCCCAACATACAACAACCGTGGGCTACCCCTTGGGTGGTGTGCAAGCAGTGTCTGTAATAGCCGTGCGTCAATCTAATGCCCTGCCGGTGTCCATGCGCAAGGCTGCGGATTTGAACCTGCAACCTGATACCACAATGCGCATTTCAAACCGGTGCTCTAACCACTGATTATGTTAGAAAAACTTAAAATAAATTGTACAACTGGGAGAAGAGAAGATGAGGAGGAGGATTTGCGCCGTTGAAGCAGTTGTGGCATGACCTTTGCCTGGCCGGAGAGTCTTGCTCAGGTCAGAGCTGCGGCGACTTTTGTGAGGGACGCCGAATTTTTTTTTTTTTTTTTTTTTAATAACTGAAAACCCAGGCCTCTATCCCGGTGGTGGTGAGAGAACCACCGGAATTGAGGCTTTGCCTATCGGGCTGCTCCATCTATTGGTGGGGAGCAACGGGACGCTGGACCCGGTTCCCAAGCTTGATGAAAATGCGCTTCAGACGTGATTTCGGGAAAACTAGAGTGCTGTCACGGTTTCACTTTGAAAATCCGCTTCAGACGCGATTTCCGGAATGTTGGGCCAAAGAGATGATGAAAATCGTGAATGTATACAACCTGGCTTTAGGATCGGGTAGGGATGTGTTGTATTCGAGGGATGCCGGAAGTGGATTTTAAACTGAAATTGTGACTGCGCCCTAGTTACCCCTGTTAAACCACCAATACTTCCTAAAGTCGTGTAGCGTTGATTTTCGGAAACGTACGGGCCACTACAGGAGCGCCCAAATTCATCCAACTAGAAACGTTTCTACTCTACTTTTTTCCGCGGCCCATAGCTGGGCCAAGTACTAGTGGTTTAATAAAGATTGATGATTGATCCATTTTCCCCTTTTTTTTTTTTCTTTTTTTTTTTGGGAAAAAAATTCGGACCATTTCTCGATTTATGCGTGTCATCCTTGCAAAATTCGGACCATTTCTCGATTTATGCGTGTCATCCTTGCGCAGGGGCCATGCTAATCTTCTTAACGGATTCCGCAAAAAATACAAATGACCTCTGAGGGTCTTAGTTCTTTTTTTAAAGAGAAAACTAGGGCGCGGTCAGGGTTACAGTTTGAAGATACATTTCAAACTGCCTTTTTGGAGTCCAGTCCCCTCTTAAGTTTACACTGCAGTCCAAACTCTGCCGTCGCGTGGCTGTCGCAGGGCACAGTTTGTAACTGCAGTCTAGTCATCCACGTCGGAGGGCCAGTCCGTTTTCCGAAAAAAAAAAAGAAGAAACAAGAAGAAAAAAAAAAAGATCGTGGCCCTGTATATTTCCATGCTCTAGGGAAAGATTCACTCTCGGTTTCCACTACGGATCTTGAAATGTGCAAAACGAGAGTGAATCTTCCCAAGAACATGGAAAGATACAGCTCCATGATTTTTGTCTTCTGTGCAACGGGAATACAGGGGGCCAGCGGGACACACGGGCTGACAAAAACGCAGAGGGCCTAGGGGAGACACGTGCTGACAACAACCCAGTTTCTTTTCTTTTTTTTTTTTTCTCTGTTTTTTCCTTTCTCAGATTTCCCGACCTATGCGTGTCATCCTTGGGGCCTCGTGGTGGTGAATCTTTCCATGTTGTAGCGGAAGATTCACCCTCGTTTTGCATGGCTCCACTACTCTAGAAATGTGCAAAACGAGAGCGAATCTTCCTATAGAACATGGAAAGATACAGCGCCCTTGATTCGTGTCTGTTGTGCATGTCAAGGGGAAAAAAAAAAGAATAGTGGAGCAAGGCCCTTTTTTTTTTTTTTTT